TCACCGGGGCCATCTGGAACGTGCTCCGAGCCACTGGGAGCCACTGACAAACACAGAGAATCAGAGAAAGCTTTATATATATATATATATGTACACGATATATATGGAAAGGAATGGAAAGGAAAGGGAAGCAGCTCCACGGTCACATCTATCATAGCCAAAGCATTTGTCACGTGAGGGACAACGTGATTTCATTTTCCTGTCGCCATAAAGGTGACACATTGCATTCGTATTGCCTTGGTCCATTTGTTTTGTATTTGTATTAGTATTAGATTATATGTGTGTGTGTGTGTGTGTGTGTGTCTGGTAAATGATATGCCATCAGACTTGGAGGAAGGAGAATCTCTCTTGTGTTGAGGATGAAGAAGGAAGCATCAGCATCCATCTATGGCCGATCATCAGGGCGCATGCTTAATAAATACTGAAGCATATCTCCGACCAACAAAAAACGAGGAAAAGCACTTGCAATTTATTCAACGCTACGGTCGGGCGGACGAAAAGCGGTCGGTGTTCTATTGATTTTCATGGGTATACAAGCCGGATAACATGTTGTTAAACCACAGCAGCGCGAGCAAACAAATTACCCACAGCAGTTGGCCAAAAATTGTTCAACATAACTTCAGATTTTATGGCCCACATGTGTGTGAGAGAAGCGGTGGAGATATATTCAGTGGGTTGTCCAGGCTGGCGGGCAGGCAGCACACAGTTTACTATCAATTCTGTGCTCGTGTTCTCTGTGGCTTGGAAATTAGCGCTTCACTGCATTCCTTTCCCACACCAAACGAGACTTGGAGTTCCGTTACTCCTTTGGCACCCCTTCGAAAGCCTGGCCAACAACGACTTGGGTTTCGACCAACGTCTATAGCTTTTCGTCTTTCGCCTTTCACCCTTCACCTTTCTCCTTCGTCGTTTGCGGCTTGGCCAAGTTTCATGTCAAAAGTGCACTCCATGAATATTTCACTTGCAATCACATTGTTTTCCCGCTAACTTTTTAGATTGTTTTAACATGTGGCGGAAATGGGCGTGCCAGTCGGTGGGATACGATAGGAATGGAAAGGACGCGGCCGAGTCCTGAAGGGAGTGGCATGTAACGCAACGTAACGGTACAACAACAACAACAACAGCAGCAGCAGCAGTATCAAAGTTTGGTTTTCACTCAATTTTGGCAATGCTTGCCACAACCTACTAGCCTTCTCACTCTCCTCTCTCCACTCTCCACCCTCTCTTTCCCCACTTTGTTTGCTCCGTTGGAAACAGTTGGAAAACTGTGTGTGTATGCGCATGGTTCATGTGTGTTCATGTTGAGGTAATCCCTGATTCCCATGCGCTAAATTTGGTAGTTCAACTCGGCTCAGTTCCCTATCGCCAGTTTGCCCTTTGTGCAGCGAACGGTTTAATAGTGCACGGAATTTGGGTATTTCCCTCCACCATCCTACACGTTAGAGTGGGGGTTTTCGTTTGGTCTGGCCGATATATGGGAGATTTATGCATCCATCTGGTGGCCAAGATAGACAGACAGACGGATGGATGGATGGATGGGTGGAGGAACAGAGAGAAAGAGTGGTAGACGGAGGACCGGCATTCGCTTGGCCACTTTAGGATAAGTAGCCGCTCAAAAGATATTACGTGTTTGCTCTTGGCAACTGCCGGGAAATGCACTTGCTCTTTTCCGCTTCATCCCCGCTGAGTTTTCCTCAGGATAGCCGCAGGAGTTCCTTTGCAAATGCGTCCTGGATTTAAGTTTTCTTTAGCTTTCAGCTAGTTTTCGCAACTCCACGCGGCATTTAATGAATTTTCCCATTTTTCCCAGCTTCCACTTTGTCGCTGTTCCTGTTTCTGTTCCTTCTGCCTGCTCCCAGGGTGCCTCCAGGGGGGGTGGGGGGTGGCATTTGCTCAACAAGCTGCCGCCGCCGTTTCATTTGTCGCTCCATGTTTTGCAGCTCCATCACAGGCATGCCACACGGGACGGACGGCCAGGTGCTTCGCCGAGCACTCGAAATTACAACAGCAGCAGCAGCAGGCAGCCAGCCAGCAGTTGCAACTATTTTTATATTTTATGCACTTTGCGTGCTACCAAAAATTTTGTTGGCATTTTTCCTTTTTTTGGCGCCAGCCGTTTGCCCTCTGCTCCCCCAGGAGTGGATGGAGCAGTGGGCGTAGCTGAAGGTCAGTGGGCGGATTGGACCTGCAACAAAACCGAATAAAAACTTGTTTGATAATTTTCTACTCAAATTGAATACTTGCAACTGTATGTGCTGCAAACTTTTCTTATTCTCTGCGAATAACTTTAATGGAAAAACTTTGAATATCAAACCGCAAAAACAAAAAATACTCGTACTACTTCTAGAGAATGGAAAATAAGGGGCGTGGGGAGGGGGAAAAAAATAGAGCCCACAGCGTAGAGCAGACCCCACAATGGGCACTAAAATTGGAAAATTGAAATTGAATTGTACACACAGAGATTTAGATGGACAGGGGGGGGAAAACTGACCAGACGGAAAAAACGAGATTCCAATTCCAACTTCCAACTGGGCCTCGGTTCAATGAATGCATATTTACCCCTGGGATCCCCATGAATTGGATAGGACGGAAGTCCAATCAAATAAATATGCAGAAATATGTACATATGTATTTCTACTATGTGGCACGCTCAAATTAGTGCCAGGCAGAGGCATCGTTATCGGGGCTGCTCTCATCCACACAGACGTGGCACATATCAGTGCCCAAGTGGCACAAAGTCATTTAGTTTATTAGCACTCGAATGGCGAATCCTGGAGCCCGGAATCCCCAGACAATATTCCGCCTGCCTGCCGGGAAGAAACCCTTTGCAGGAGAGGGAGAAACTTCAAAAGAGTGTCACAAGGCGAACGTCTCCGTAGTGGAGAGAAATAGCTCTGTTCGACTGGCATTATTTCGTTATTATCCGCATCAAGGAGTCGATTGACAGGAGCACAGGCACGTGCTGCCAACGCCTTTATCCGGCTTGCAAAAATATTGTCACAGGAAAGGAGCCACAGCACCGAGAGCCAGGATACAAAAGAAATTATATTTACAGGCCAGCACCAGCAGCAGAGACGCACAGGAGGAGGAAAAGCCAGTGAAAACAAAACACAAATGGGCAGAAGCCGGTCCCGTCCCGAAAAAAAAGAAACCGGAAAAAAGCGGCAAAGCAGCAAGCAAAAAAATCAAATAAAATGCCAGAAACATGGCATTGAGGGAGGGTCCAAGTCCAAGTCCAAGTCCTGCCAGGTCCTGTCTTGCTTCCTGTCAGCCTCCCACTTGTGTGGCTCCGCTTTGGCCAAGTGCGTGCTGGCTGACTTTTGGCTTTGCCTACTTTCTCTTTCTACTTTCTCGTCCTGCCTCACGAATGTTTCCACAGCAGATAAATACAACATTTGACACTTCATTATTGTGCCCGCAGCGTAATCGAATCAATTCAATTCCAGGACCTTGGCCTCTGCTCGCCACGTCACCCGGGCCTTGTCATGGTGTCAAAAGTGCTTGGCCGGTCCTACTTGTGCTGCTCGGCTGCTCGGCTGCTCGGCTCTTCTGGCGAGGCTGCTGCCTCTGCCTCTGCCTGTCCGCATCCTGTGACCCATTGTTCATCGTTTGCCAGAGCCCCACGAGCTCCAGGGCTCAAGGCAGCTTGCCCTGTTGACACATTCGCTTAAACGTATTAAATTGTTTGCCATAGCCTCTCCTGCTTGCCATTGACGTTGGAGGTTGGACGTTGGACGTTCGACGTAGCTGACGCACAATTTTTCTGGTTTTTGCTGCTGCTGGTGCTGCTGCCTCTGCCACTACTGCCACTTGATGGCCCCACTGTTTGCTCGTAGCGGAAGTGTGTCCCGTGTAGTCGTAGCTCGTAATCGTATCTCTGTGTCTAGAGCTGTATCCACATTCTGCTTTGTCACACCTAAAAAAAAAAGAAGAATATAATCGATTACCTTGTAATCGGATATGAGCGTATCCGCTGGCATCTGGGAGTCCCGTCGCCCCAAAAGTGCTACGAATGACGGCTGGGGCAGGGTGTAATTGAGTTTAATTGAGGCCGGCCGCAATGCGAGGCTATTTATGTAATAATCATTGTTTAATTACAAAACCAAACAAATACTCGAACACTAATGTCGGGCGCCCTTGCCCATGCTGAGGCACTGGCGAGAGGCCTTTGATGTGGTCGCCATGGGGATGCATTAATTATGCATGACACACGACATTCAGGATACGCAAATGTGTGACTGAGAGTCTATCAGAGAGAGAGAGCGGAAAAGGAGGAGAAATGGAGGTGAGGGCATGCGTGTGAGTGGCTGTGTGGCTGTGTGAACAATCGAATTAATACCGGTGCTCAGCAGATGAGCGGCCCAAAGTATGCTTTAATATTTAAGTGCATTTTAACACTTTGAGCCCACACTCGCCCAGAGGATTCACACACACACACGCACACAAATAAATTCTCTTAGGCAATTAACTAAAGTCTCTTTGGCCCCCACACAAGAAGAGTAGACAAGAGTTGCAATGAGATTGACATATATAAAATTGATTAGGAAATCAACAGCAAGTGCATTAAATTACTTACCCACTTCCTACCGTCTCCTCCAACTCCGCCTCTATCCCCGAATCCTGTCACGGACTCTTGCCACTGCGTAAATTTGACAACTTTCATATGGATGGGCATAATAAAATGCACTTTATGAACTTTCCGACATTTGACAAATATTCTTAAATGCACTAAACCAATTAGAGCGACCAGCACACGCACGCACACCCTGTGACATGGACACACCATCATGTTCATCCTGACGATGATGGTGATGGTGTCCTGAGTGTGTGCACAAGCTCGTAAAACCCCAGAGCATCTGTGTCTCTGTGTGTGTGTGTGGGACGTGAGTAATAATATTTTGAGTAATTTGCTTTATATATTTTAAACGAAAATACCAAAAAGCATTTCATATTAATATCCTCTTTTCCCCTCTCTCTCTCGCTCTCTGTTTATTTTGCAGTGTCGGCCCAAAGCATGATGACGAAGAACGAGCCCATGTTTATATCACGTTCGGAGACCTTCAAGTTTATCACCGGCGAGACAATAGTGCTGCCATGCGAAGTGGCCAATACGGGTAAGCGATAGAGATCTGACTATTCAATGATCCAATCGATTAATTTACAAATTGAATTCTTTTTACAACCCAGAGTTCTCTAAAAATGTCTTCTCGTCAATGCTGAAAATTTTCAAATATTCTCAAAAATCTTGAAGATAAACCATTTCGGGTAGTTTAACTGAAATTCTATTCCGACCACGCCGTTTGCATTTAAATTCTGCGGTCGAAGGACTCCTAAACATATAATTAAGCCGGCATTATACGATGGTCGGCCTGCCCACAACTATGCATTGATCCCATGGCTGGGAGACTGGTCTCCAGTCCAGGTCCATTTCGACCACAGAAAAACAGAATGGATTTCGGTATACGGAGTAGCGACGGGAAGGGGGTGGAGTGGGGTGGCGAACGGAGGACAGTCGCCTCCTGACGAGTGTCCGATCCAAGACATGTGTGTAGTGGTTATGGCGTTTTTGTTGCGGTCTTTCACTCCACTCAAGTCGGTCCCGGTCCGGCATTTCCAGTGGGTGGCAGTGGCAGTGGCAAGTGGCAGTGGCATTGGCAGTGGCCATGCACGTTTTTCAATTTAAATGCGGTCGTGTGTGCGAGATTATTTGTACATAAGCAGGATTTAGCATAAGCAACAGCCGCCTTTCGACCAGGCCAAAAGACGGAGCGAAACGGAACGGAGCGGAACGGGGCTCAGATATAAGAAATAAAATATAAGAAGAGGAAAGTCCGAGCACAGGCTGTGAAGATGGTCAGAACAAAATGCTACATAAAAACTTGGACCCAAACACTTGGAGCACATTTTATGTATTGTACGGATATATGTGAATCTCGCAGATACATACGAGTATGTGCCCGAGTGTTGGGGGCTGGGAAATGAGGGTTGGCTGCGGTCGAAGCATTCCTTTTATATGGAAAAGAAATACAGAACAAAGAATTTCATTTGCGTTTCTCATGCACTTCATTGCCTCTGACAACGGCGACAAGGAGGGCAAGGATGAGGTTCAGCACCAAGACGAGGACCAGTGCCAGTGCCAGTGCCATTGCCATTGCCAGGACCAAGATGAAGACGAAGCAGACACTGGAGATGCGATACATAGACAATTTTCTGCAACAAAATTATAGCTGCGGGCATTTGGGTACTAATAATAAAAAAAATAAAGCACAGGGCAGAGAAAAGAAGCGAAACGAAACGAAACGAAAAAAAAAGAAAGTACAGAATGAAGCACAAGAAAGTAAATATAAAAAGAAAGCATCAGGACTGGGGGGGGGGGGGGGGGGGGGGGGGGGGGGGTTTGGGGGGGGGGGGGGGGGAAATAAATTGCCTGGGCGTTGGTTTACTCTGGGATCGGGAATGGGTCGGAGTCGGAGTCGGAGTCGGAGCCGCCCCAGTTTGTCCCCGACTAATGCCGCATTATGCTAATAAAGTGCCCATACGACAATTTCATTACAGACATCTCTCAGAGAGACCCAGCAGAAAGTAGCACCGAAGCGCCTCGTGGCTTAAACGCAATAATTAAAAAGTGAAGCCGCAGCGCGATTTCATATTTTTAATAACGCATGCTTTATGAAGGAGATCCCCCTGAAAATATGATTAGCTTTCGAAACGATTGCCAGCCAGAGCAGGTGATGCCCTGCTCATCGTGTCCCCTTTTTATGGTCGTGGCCCGTAAAGTGTAAAAAATAATTGATAGAATTTTTAAAACCCCACTAAAACCGAGTACTCCACGGTAAAATTTATGCACATTTTCATTTCGTTTTATGCATGCAAGGCTCGTTAAATTCGAAAAAGAATGAACAAAATCCACACAAAGGATGAGTGCGTGTGTCTGTCGTCGTTTACATATTATATGAAAATGCCTTTAAACACTTATTACAGAGCTGTGCACTCCTAAAGAGTAAACTTTTGACTCGATTGTCTCTGCCGCTGCTGCTCAGACAATCAAACAATCAGACATACACTCAGACAGAACGATAGTCGTCTTGCCCCCCGCTCTCGCTCTCTCGCTCTCTCGCTCTGGATAAACAGTGAAACATTTCATCATTATCATTTCATTTCATTTGAATTTTTATTTGTTCTTCAATGTCTGGCACGCAAGAAACTTGTGTATTTTTCTGTTTGTTTTTGCTCTGGCAGCTCTACTGATGGTTCTGCTGACGGTTCTACTGCTGCTTTAAATAGTCCTCCTTCTACTCTACTGCTTATCTTTTCCCTCTACTGCTTTTTCTTCTCTATCGCCTGGGGTTGGGCAACAACAGAGCATTCGCACTTGGCCAAACAAACTTCAATCGACAGAGATACCCTGTCTGCTGGAAAAAACTGAAAAGGGGGTACATCAACTATGATATTCAGCTGCTAAATTGGTGAAAAGTTTAAGTGGGGCGAGCAATCACAGGAATCACTGCCCCTAAGGCTCCAATGAAACTCGAAAATTACATAAAAGTCTCAATGACGTAAACTGCAAATGTTGCGAAAGGGGTCCCAGTCTTCTCCATCCCACTTTTGGCCTGGCTTTAATTTGCAATGTGGCTTATATTTTTAGGCCAAAGAAAGCACAAACAAAGAGACAAGTCTGTCACCAGCTTCGGCCTCGTTTAGACTCTGGTCGTTTGCTTAGGAAATTTTCCTGTTAATCCTTGCAAATCAGTTTGTTTTCTTGTGCTTTTTGTGGCAAGTAAATATTATTATATAATTTATGCTTTTATGTTTGTAAAATTCTTAAAATATTCATGGACTGTCACTGTCGTTGTCTACCCTTTGGTTCACTTACTCGCACTCTGGCACTCATCCAATAGACTCGTTTGATTCGATTCGACCTCATAATATTTTCATTGGAAATCCACGGCGATTCGGGCTTTTAAGTGCTGCCCATTTTGAGCTCTTCTAAATCGGCTAATTAATTGCTTTGGCCATTTTATCCACTGCTCAACTTGTCTGCATGCAAAGCCTTTTATGCTGCCGGAGTGTAGTGTGAATTTTTCATTGCGGTTACTGCGGCAGAAGCAGAGGCAGGAGTACAGTTGTACAGTTTTACAGTAGTACAGTAGTGGCAATGTGGCAGCAAAAACATTTAACAACTATGGCCACTGCCACGGCCAACTGGCAGTTAGTAATGTTGCCGTAACTGTAAACTCGACTGCAATAAAATTCAAAACACAAAAACCCCGTCATTGCGGCCATACAAACGCTCATTACGCTTTGATGGAGCTTTGTCGGCGCTGCGCTTCGGAACTATTGCCCAGAAAACGGAAATGGAATCGTACCGCAAAAGTTGAAGTTGTGCAAACAGCAGAACGTGGGTCCCACAAGTACTCCACGTTACGGATGGATTGGATAAGGATGAAGCGGCACAGAGGGAGTGGCAGGGACAGGGGCAGGGGCAGGAGGCAACAAAGTTTCAATATTAATGCCATTTACAGTTCTAATTTCGCTTTTTACGTACTTGCAACATACACACGAACACAGGCACAGGCGCACAGACACAGACACGCACACGCTACACTTAACAGTCTCGCACACTCTCAAAGTTCCACAAGAAGTTGCAGATAAGTCTCTGCCTCTCTGCACACCGCACCTCTCCGCTCTAGTTTACTCTGCGGCGGCTAAGCCGCAACATCGTTTATCTTCGGGGGTCATCATCTTATAATATTGGCCTTTCCGACATGCAATAAATTGCGCTCAGACAAACAACATGTCCGTTGGTCGGCCTTTGGTCCGTTGTGGAAGCAACTACACTGAAAGAAAACATGGCTTACAGATGGTCCTAGCTGGTCAGAACGGGTCAAAAGCTGGCTGGCCCAAAGGCAGACCATTACAGCCATATTGCGCATACGCACAGTATGCCCAAAGCAAACAGACAAAAGCGCTGCAACAATGCGAACATTGGCCATATTTGAATCGGTTCTACAAGTGTGTGTGCGTGTGTCCGAGTGTGTGTGTGTGTGTGTGTGGCTGTCACTGGGTGAAGTGTAGAAAACTAAAAGTTGGCTTTCGGGCTGTAAACAATGGACAAGCGCTCTCTCTGTAGCAGGACGTGCGGTCGGCCATTTGTCCAGGACGGAGGCCTGTGTTTATGTGGAACTCCGTGTGCATGAGCCCGAAATGCTTTTACCGAGTTTCCGCCCCATGCCTCATCCCCATCCTCCATGCCACCAGACCCAGGACCCTAGGACTCATCTTCATCCTGATTCCCATTCTGCTGCTGCTGCTGCTCGGCTTCTCGCTCGCTTAACAGCGCAATTGTTTGCATGTATTGTTGTCGTAATGCTTCAGCTGCCTCTCCCCCTCCCTCTGTATCTCTGAGCCTGTGTCTGTGTGTGGGTTTCTATTTAGTTTAGAACACTTAAACCGGAAATTGAGGCGTTTCGTGTTTTGCTTGTTTTCGTTAGATTGTTGTTATTTTAGTTAACAATTTATTTAGTTGCAGTACCTCTGCCTCTCTCCCAGCAGGAGCAGTGGCACACATGAACCGGACTCCTAATTTATGTGGTCTTGCCACTGCCCCCAATGGTTCTTCTCCAGCCACTGCCACATCTTGTCCTTTCAAGAACAAGACTCCACTGTACTCCACAGTATTATTAATTTCCTGCCCAGACACAGCCACAGCCACAGGCACAGACTCCATTTCCATCTCCGATTTTATTTTGACTTTTTCACATCTTTTTTCTGGCTATCCAACAGACACACTTTGACAGACATTCCTCTGTCATTCTGAAGCCTTTCCAATGTCATGCATGAACAATGGACAGTGGTCATGGGCAAAAGGAATTTTTGGCAAGAAATTCCATGAAACAAAAGACATGCAATTAGGCAGAACAGGGCAAGAATTAACCAATTTTCTAATTCCCATCTGCATTGAAACCAAATAATTGACAGGCTCTAATAATACTTGCAAACCAGAAATGAAAACCAGAAAACCTTTCTCCAATTTGCATATCTTTGAGACAGAACCTGCCCCGTTCGGCACTATGCCACCAGGATGCCATACACCAACGATGTTGCTTCATTCATAACTCAATCAAGCGGCTAATATGATATGACTGCACTTTGCAGGCAGCACGTACATGGCCCCCCTCTCTAATGCCCGGGGCAGGATGCATGCAAGGGTTCCCTGGTGTTGAGCCCACAACTCAATGCCCGCACACCACACCGCACCTCTCCCCAGTGTGCCACAAGAATTATACTTTTCCTACGTTGCAGAGTCTCTGGGACAACTACTATACGACCCTACCTCCGACTCGACTCGACTCGACTCGACTATGCCACACACGCTAACGACAGCAGGTGGTGCTCGTTTATTTATTTGTTTTTGCAGTGCACTGCGCCTGCATTGGCCTTCCCCTTCCCCTTCGCCTTCGCCTGCCACTGCCTCTGCCTCTGGTCTTGTACCTGTGCCTCTTCCTGTGGCACAGCCTGTGCCGCCTCGTTCTTGGGTTGGCTTGTTGATGTTGTTGAACTCATTGCAAATAAATACGCTTTTTGAATGCGCATGTAAATGACTTCATAAGCATTTTATTACAGCCGAGGCGAGCACCTCGGTCCTGCCTTCTACTCGGAGTAAATGTTCATCTGTGTGCATGCGTTTCGTGGTGAAATCAATTTAAGCGGGGAGACACCGACACGGACACGGGCACGGGCACAAGGATTCATACTATATACAACATAATTTTCCCGTACTCTTGATTTTTTGGCTTTGGTAAAATTGTTTTAATTTTTAATGAACGCCTCTCGCTCGTTGGCGGCGAAACACGGAAGTCATACATCATTAGTAGCAAAATCCGGCTGCTTCAGTACACAGTCATTCGAATTTCCAATACACTGACTCCCACAGCTCGTATTCCTGGCACAGCTGCTGCCCCTGGCCCTGCCCCTGCCCCTGCCGCAGCTCCAGGCGCCTCTTCCTGCCGCCTAACCATTTCCCTATCCGTGCTCATTGGCGTAGCACGCGCGCGGAAATTTACATCGAGCAACTCACATAAATTGAAAAAGGAATCACAATTAATGAGTTCGATGAATACGCCATTGCCATTGGGGCTATGGCTGGGGCCTGTTGTATGTGTGTACGTGTGGACGCCACACACTCTCTGGGTGCTCTTTCTGTGCGTTTGTGTGGCTGTCTGGCTGGCATCCTTCCTCCTGCGTGCCTCACTCTGTCAGTACTGGCAGCCTGCCCGCCGCACTGTTGAAAGCATCCGAGTGTCTGACTGCCTCTCATTCTGGCATATGATTGCAAATGCCGCACATTAGCGGATATCAAGTGGGTGTTACTGAATGCCTGTCTGACTCTCGCTCTCTCTTTCTCTCCATCTCCCCTCTTTCATCCAGCCCCAGCCGTTGTTCATGCCGCCTGTCTGCGGTTTATGCCTCCAATTCTGAGAGTCGCTGTGTGTTGTATGTGTGTGTGTTTGCGGGTCCATGCCAAATTGAATTTCTAGCCTTTTTAGATCCTTTGAAGCGTCCTGTAATTGAGTCATTTGAATTCTGAATTTTCAATTTGCCGCGTTGCCACTCCCAGTGCCAGTGCCAGTGCCAGTGCGAGTGCCAGTGCAGTGCATGCCACTCGAATATGCCATGCGATTTAATAACTCTCGAACTCTCGAACATAATTTTTCAATCAATTATAATCTCATTTCTCTTTCAATCTCTTTCAATCTGATTGCAGACACCTATGTTGTGGCCTGGAAGCGGGGTATCGCCATATTAACCGCTGGTTCCGTGAAAGTGACGCCCGATCCACGCGTGCGCCTGGTCAATGGCTTCAATCTGCAGATACGTGAGGCCCTGCCAACGGATGCCGGCGATTATATTTGCCAAATTGCCACGATGGATCCACGGGAAATCACCCACACTGTCGAGATATTGGGTAAGTAGGACGTACCACTCCCTTCGCCACCCCCATCCCGGACTGACTTTTCGACATTGTGGCATTGTTATGCAAAATATCCACACCACACCACACCACAGCACCGGCATCAAGTCGCCCACTTGCAAAAGCAGCATAGTATCCATCCCACCCACAACGATAGAGATTGACGTTCCATGGGATTTTTATGGGGGGGTGGCGAAATTTATGCGGCCTCCCCAAATCACTCGGGCCCTATTGTTTGGGGGCAGGCAAAGGCAGATCTACCTCTCGCTCTTGTCGCTGAGCCTGATGGAGCTGCTGCTGCCGCTTCGGCTGCCTCGGCTGCTGTGTGTTGGTCAAATTAACATATCCTTAGATCCTTAGATCCTTGGTGCTTAATGCTTTATGCGTCCGGGCCACTCAAATATGCAAAGTAGATTCGCTGCAATTTGGCCGCTTTACGGCCCCAGATTCAATAGAGAGACGAGCGGCGAAAAAATCAAAACTAATCTGCCATTTGCCCCAAAATTGTGGCCCATCTTTGGAGTCCAATCCCAGCTGCAGGCCTGCCTGCCCTCTGCCCTCTGCCCCGCCAGAGCCGTAGATGGAGACAGAGAGCGGATGCAAATTGCTGCTCCTTCTCGCTCACAGCAGTCCTCTGCGCCCAAACTACTTCCTGTCGGGGACCCATTGTGCCTAACAAGCGTGCGACTTCGGCTCTGCTCCGGCATTGGCATTAGTACTGGCTTGAAGCTTTGTTTCTGGTTTTGTGCCTGCTTCAGACCCGACCCGTCAATCCCTGCTCCTGCTTTTCGTTTCTTGCTGCTTCTCCTCACTCCTCCCTTCTTTTTATCCTTGTGGCATGCGTCTTCGCTGGGCTTCTAATCAGCAATGATGAATAATTTACATATATTTCCCCCCCAATTACAATGTTGCCCTTTATTTGCATACCCCTGTGTGTGTGTCTCTCTCTCTCTCTCTCTCTCTCTCTCTCTGTGTCTGTAATATGTGTGTGTGTGTGTGTCTGACTGCCACGCCTTCTGCATTGCTAACACTTGCCTTTTAACTCTCTTTTCTTGTGCTTTCCGCTTGCCTGTGTGCGGCGCATGCAAATTGCGATACAATTCCCCAAATCTCCGAAGTGCGCTGGAGCCCATCTCCATCTTTCTCTCCACGGACTCACTCTCTTCCGTCCGGCCTCTCTGCCCTTTCTCCACTCTATCTCCCACTCCTCTTAACTTTATCCCCCTTTTCTCCGAAACCAATCTTCCCTTTCTTCCGCCTTGTATCCTTCTTCTTCCTCCATTCGTATCTCCCTTTGCTCTCAGGTCACTCCTCCAATTCTCTTACTTTGCTCTCCCGTGAAGAGTTATAAAATCATTGAGAAATAGTTTTATTGATGTCTTTAAAGCGGCCTTTAAGCCCCGATACAGATACATGGATTTTTTTGCTTAAGCATTACTCGGGAGCCTATAAAAAATGCGTATTTATTTTAGCAGCGGCAACTTTTTTCATTTGTCATTGAAACTTGGTCCTGGCTTGTGGTCCTGCCAGCTCCCACATCCAACGGGGGTCCTCCTGCTGCTGCTCTACAGACCATCCTCCATCCTCCTGGTTGGGGCGTCGGCGTCGCCGCAAGCAAACATTAAACGAAGACTCGTCTGAAAAGAATGGGGTTCGGGGGCTCGGGGGTCCTGTGGTGCTTCCTGGGGGCGTTTGGGCCACGGCAACAGCAACAGCAACAGCAGCCACGGACAAAGAGTACGAAAAAAAGTCGATTATTGAAAAGTTTTGTTTATTTTATGTGTTTATTATGCGCTCCGTTTGCCAAATAATGATCATGGCCAGAAAATATTTCGTTTATTGAACTTTCGCAGTGCACGTAAATTTCTCGGCCAGTTTTTTTCCCTCGCACCAAACGCCGCAACCCCCAACCACTGAACCCATCTCCATTATTGTCAAAGGAGAAACAAGGAAAAATAATGCGCTGTCGAAGTTTTTATAGGCTCGACAGCAGACAGCCAACCAACCTTCCAACCAACAAACAAACAGCAATCCTCACTGCTGTCCGAGGAGCGGCAGGCACCCTCCCAAACAGAAAAAAGTGCGATCCCAATCCCGAATCCATGTGGCTCAGAACTCCTGTCCGTATATAAATTTCATAAAGTTTGCCGCTCTCTGGCATCTCGGCCTGGCAGTTTTTACGAGCGTAAATTACTTTCAGTTTGGCTCACACTAAAGATGAAAAAATAATGTGCGCTCTTGCCAAAGTTTCGCACTTGGCCAGCGACGTCGCACTTACAAAGACATTAGCTCCGGCGATGGCCAAAAAATGGACCAACTGGATCCAGTCGATCCATGGAGTCGAAGCCAGAGTCGGCGTCGACGTCGGCGTCGCCGTCGGAGCCTCTGCCCGGAGGCAGCGGCCGAGCAATGGCCAAAAGTTTGTCCGTTGACAAATCTTTTAATATGGCCCAAACATTAATATCTGTGCACTGTGCTTTGTTCTCCCTCTCTCCTATGGCGCCGACATAATTACAGGAGAATCGCATGCCTGGCTCTCACCTAACCCCCAAACGCTGCAGCTTCAATATTTGATGTGTCCGTGGATTTTCCTGTCAAGGTTGCTGGCCATCCTTGCTGTGGTTCTCTGTCCCACAACTGCTGACTGCTCTCCGCCGACACTGTTGACCAAGTGTCAATAGAAGGCAGGATAACCGTGTCAAGGACTTTTGCATGGCACCCTTGCATGGCCCTTGCTTTAGTTTTGGGTTGGGATTTGGCTTAAAAGCATTTTTATTAATTCAACCTGTGCTGCGGCATCAGTGGCAACAGCTGTGGAAGCTGCAACTGCAGCATTATTCATACGACGTTTAATAAAACCAATTAGGCCTTCGACACCGTCCACCCACAGTCCAAAATCCATCCATTAGCCAGTGGCAGTCGGTGTCTGTTGCCACTCAGTAGGGCATCGCATCGATGCGTTGTGGTACAATTCGGTTTGGGGCATGCGGCTCACCCAAATCCAACCGCAAAACATTATGTTATGCGGTGGCAGTCGCGGTCAGCCATTGCGGCAATTTGCACATTTTTATCAGAGCCACAGCCATAGCCATCAGGCATCAACCATCGGGCATCAGCCATTGGCCATTGGCCATCTGATACATGGATTTTTAAATGCATTTTGTGCGTGACTTTAATGCGCATTGTTGTGGCGTGCTCGGGGCAGTGTGGGTGGTGCATCTCCAATTGAAATTAGCCTGCACTCGAGTAGGATTACTCGGTAGTTAAAATGTCACCGAATATGGCAATTAGAAAGGTAATTACAGGACACCGCAAAAGTCCAAGGTACGGTCTCACGTACACTTAAAGTATCGATGACAATGAAAGCATTGAACCGGAAGCCATAATTATTGCATTGATTATCGTGTCGTGTTGTTTTGTGTCGTGTGGTGTTGTGTTCTGTGGTGTGGCATAGAAAATGAAGCCTCATTTCTGTGATTTATATGCACAATATGCCAAAACAACTGTTCACGGACACCCAGGCGGACACGGATCCGGAGACGGATGTGGCTACATAGGACGCAGGCAGAGACAGGGCAGTGCTACGTACGAGTAGTGGCCGTGGCAGGTGCTGAGGGGCACGGTCAGCCTTTAATTATGGGCAGATGGCCAACAATAGTTCCATACTGCCAGCACAATGGGTGGAACAACAATGTTTGTACACTAACAAAAGATGCTGTTGCTGTTGCTGTTGCTGCTGCAGAGACTGAAGAGTGAGGAGAGCAGTGAAGCAAAAGGGAGAGGTGTGCCATAATTATATGCCACAAGAAGGATAAACAAATGAAACACACACATGCAACTCTCCATGCAGACACGCATACAGGCAAAGTTTCTTTGGATACTTGAGACAAATTACCAACACACTGCAAAACCAAAGCGAACTTGCACCATCTGAACATGCAACAGAGAAGGGAAAGGGAACGGTGGCACGACTGGCACGACTGGTAGGACTGGCAAAGGCTTGGTCTTAGCCAAGTGAACCCACAATTAAATGCCAAGCTCTTGGATCCGTTTAAGTTCTCTGGCAATAAAGTTTATCGCCCTGCAACAGAATATGGATTTAAATTGCTCAGCAGTCTTCAGACTACACAGACTACAGGCTCGAGGACCACTTAAAGTTTTCCCAGCTCAAGATTCAAATGGATGTGTGTGCTTGTGTGTGTGTGTGTGGGTGTGGGTATGGGTGGGCGGTGTCTGTGCTCAACTTTGAATGCCACAAAACCATGGCCAGAAGTTGAGAGCCTAGCAGCCATTCCAACACACACACACACATGTGCATACGTACATACATACATATATACATATATATAACGAAATCAATATGAAACAAACTCTGTCAAAACTGCCCGCAACCGACATTGGAGTTGCCTCCGCATCGACATCGGCCTCTGCTGCTGCTGCTGTTGCTGCTGCTGTCTCTGTTGCGGCTACTGCGGCAAATGCTTTGAAAGAGCTGCTTATTAAAATTTTTGCTAGCTGCCCGCAAGCCACCAGAACCGCCACCACCACCGACAGCGCACCACCAGCACTGCCACTGCCACTGCCACTGCCACCGCAAGAGCTGTCTAAAGATTGAGACCCATTAAGCAGTCGTCATCTGCATGACATTACATGCCACAATCCCACGTATTACATGCCAGCCAGTAGTCAATCCAAATCAATTTCAGTCCCTGCCCTTACCATCGAGTGCTCGTATTAAAAGAGCTTTCGCACTCGCATGGAGATGGGTATATTTATTGAATTCAATATGCGATCCACTGGCGAGGATAAAGTCCCACCAAAGCGTGAAATTATTGAAAATACGAGTATTCCAAAAACATACACAGATATCCATATTCACATATCCACAGAGACAGAGCGAAGGATAGAGAGAGATGTGGCCGAGGGACTAAGCTTCTCTGTAGCTGCCACACAACCACAGGGAGATATGGGAGGAGCCAGCCAGGCCAGAGCCTGCCTTCTGTGGACTATCAGCCATCGCCGAGAGTCCTTCCCTGACTGCGCCTTTTGCCAGCCTCATGATTTATTATAGTCTAATGTATATTTTGTGGCTGCAACACACCAGAGTATGTGTGGGGAGATACGGTATGCCGCTGCCTGTGCGGCTGCCTCAGTGATCAATTGTAATTTTCTTTCGAATGCAAATATCCTACAGAGCTGGGAGCTCGGAGCTCGGGGCTCAGAGCCTTGCTTTGCCTATTTGTTTTGGCCAGAGCAATCGAATATATTATTTGATATATTGCAAATCGTATGTGATTCGAAAGAATTGCATCAATAACACATGTTCGCCGGTCCACTGTCGTGGTCCGAATTGATTGCATTGGGTGTGAGGATGCCACGATACAAGTACGAGTATCTGTCATAATTTGATGATAGCCCAATCAGATACACATGCAGTCTGCTGCAGCAGAGGAGTTCAGTTGGACTCTAATTTGATATGTATATCAAATACATATCTGTGTGGATTTCGGTTGCTGTTTGCTGACCTGTCGATGATACGCGCCCTGAGACGGAGACCACATTTTGAATAGGAAATTTGGCAGGCAAACTTCAATAAATAAGGAAAATAAGTCGGATACTGGAGTGGACATATCAACTATTTAGAGTGAGTCAAAGAGAGATCCAGCTGATCCAGAAACTATTGAGATATGCGGAATCCATTGTCTGCCGTTGCATTCCCGCTGTAGCAAATCTATTATCTCGATTTATTCTAGGGAATAGGTAAAAATATTCAATCCAATGTCTGGTATAAAATTGAAATGAAATAAATAATCTGAAACACACTTTTATGTTTCGGAAAGGAGAGTTTTCTCTACGGGAAAACAATTCCTTGAACCTCTACGAATTTTTGCTACAATAAAGTATCGCCTGGGTCCGCTTGTTCCCTCAATTTATGTGCACCCCAAATGAACAAAGGACCCAAGAGCTTTAAAGACAAAATAAAACAACGAGAAAGAAAAAGAAGCGAAAGTAGAGAAAGCACGAGACAAATAAACGCAAATTCACGAAAAACTCAAGGCAAACAATGGCAGAAGTGGAAACAGCAACAGAAGCAAACTTTCCCTCTTTTTTTAGTGGCCCCCAAAATATAATAATGCATAAGAAATGTTAATAAAATAGAATGAAGCCATCGACTGTGGCATTGTCCTTGATTTTTGGGGCTGGCTGTCCGGCGGCTGGCGCACAGCAGACATAATTTTTAACAGCTGTAAAATAATGCCACCGCAAGTATAAACAAATGCCAGAGTCCCGAATTAAATCAAACTGTGCCCCAGCGGTTCTATAGAGGAGAGGAGTCCTTAGCCAGGAGTCCGTAGTCCTGAATCCTGAGTCCTGCGTCCAGAGTCCGTTTTCCAAGTCAGAGACGCGTAAATGCCGTTTTCTCTCATTCAATTTGCATTCGGGGCGCATTTATTTATTCAAATTGTGTGATGTCCTTGTCCGGCCCCAACTTTGCATAACATTTGGATGGACATGGGGACACTGGGACCGGGGGACCCAGGGACCAGACCCAGACCCAGACCCAGACCAAGACTCCTCCGAATGTTGCCCCATTTTCTAATGTGTTTTTTCTCTCTTCTTGCTGTTTATTTGCCCCGACAGTGCCACCGAGGATTCATCACATTAGCACCGGCGGACATTTGCAAGTCAAGAAGGGCTCCTCGGTGCGCATCGAGTGCTCGGCCACTGGTAATCCAATGCCGAATGTGACCTGGAGCCGCAAAAATAATATTTTGCCCAATGGTAAGATTCAGCATAAATACAAATATCCATACAAAAGGATACCCCGACACCATCCATGGAACCAACCAACGAAGAACCATTCAGCGACCAAGAGGCCACCGCCACGCAAATTAAAACCATAAAGAGCAACAAAAGTCAACGGCGATGGCGACGGCGACGACTCCCAGAAATGGGAGAGCAAAAGTAAATGAATATAGTCGTAAAAGAAACTTTAAACCATTTCCATAAAAATGAAAAGTCAAAGAAATTATACGAGGAGTACTCTCCCTCTCTCTCTCACTTTCTACGGATTGTGGAGCAGCAGGAGCCGGCCATTCTCGGCCACAGACTCGGCCGCGTCCTTGTCCGCCGACCGCTTGGGCTGCTCCTTTATTATTAAATATAATGCTCACTGTGTGGGCGTGTATCTATATGCCTCTCTCTGTTGGTGGTTTCCTTGTTTGGCTACTGGTGGTCCGCTGGAGCGGTGGTAGAGCTGTGGAGCTGTGGATCGGTGGGGCAGCGAACAACGACGGCATCAGGACATCACTGTCACTTGGCCGCACGTTGATTCCCTGTAATTGGCTCTGTCATTTCTTGGTCTTCCCACAAAACCACCCACAGCCCATACACAGCCCCGCCCCGTGCGCCACACGACCTTATTGAGTTGCATTTTTCATGCGGTTTTCATGGTATACTTTTGCAGGCGAGGAGAAGCTCCACTCGCACGTCCTCTCCATCGAGAACGTGGACCGGCACAAGGGCGGCGTCTACATATGCACGGCGAACAATCGCGTCGGCCAGCCCGCCTCCAGCCAGGTGGTGCTCCATGTCCTATGTAAGTATGCCCGACCCCACTCACCCAACCACCCACTCACACAATGGAATCGAAAGGCGAAACAAATTAATTTTTTCCCGTACTTCAGGGGGTGCGAATGTGTGTGCGAGTGCTCGGAGTTTCGCTGTCAGTTCAATTTATGTCAAAACTGATTTCGATTTCGAACGGGTATTGACTCTCGATGCATGCAATCGTGGAACCAAAGTAGACGGGAGGGATTTAATAGGGAAAGAGGCACAGAACTACGGACGTGGCACACACACACCCACACACACACACACACACACACACACCGTAGAGCGGCGGGCACTGCTTTTATTACAGTGCCGTGCACACACTTACTCGACATTTATTGGTTGACTCTCACAATTATTGAAATGCCTTACGGGTGGGTGGTATCGACCATTCTGACATTTATTAACAATTTATGTGTAATTTGGCGGACAGTGGCGGACAGACAATCCCTGGAGGACGCGAACAGGCATTACATGTGCTAATTACATGGCGCCCATCTCTATTTACACTCTCTGGCCCTGTGGCTCCCGCCGATAGCTGGCCATCGGGGCCATCGGGGCCATCGGGGCCATTGGGCCATTGATTTTTCGCTTTTCGCTTTTGGCCCCGAGACCCATGTCCATGTTATTAACTAATTTCTTAACATTCTTTCTACCCCATCCGCTCACCCCACGAAATACTCGCCCACCGATGTACAGATTCGCCAGAAATCGCAGTGGAGCGTCCCGTTGTCTTCTCGGGAGAAGGGCACGAGGCCATGCTGGTCTGCATCGTCCATGGCGAAACACAGCCTGAGGTATGTTTTAATTAAATTTCATACATAAATTTTCATTAACGCGTTTGTTCACTCGGAAACACGTACAACACGCCCCTCACCACTGGTGGAACACACAGAGAAAATCCTAAAAATATACATAGATAAAGATAAAGATATATGTATGTATCCACATACATTTGTGCCAGCATTCTCCAAAGTGTTTTTCTCTGGGAGTTTAATTTTGCAAATGTACATGAAGACTTTGCAGATGCAGCTATAGATATAGAAATTATTATTCAGATTCAGACTACGATGGATACAAATAACGCTCGATTTAAGTAACATTCCTTGGATTTCTAGCTATGATAAAGATATCTTTCCAGTATGTCTGGCTTCCTTTAGCACATTGATATGATGCCTTTCTTTTCGACTTTAGCACTTTCAAGTGGCACAAATAGACTCGGCCAAAGATATAGATATCATTATCAGCCCGTGAATTTGGTCAGCATTCCCTGAATTCCTTTCTCTTTGGTCTCCATTGTTCGAGAGCAGAGAGCAGAGCCAGGGATGAGCAGCTGCCATACAACGCATTAATTAAAAGTCTACAAAGGCAAATTGAAGTGCACTACAAAGTGCAGATAGGAGAAAGGCGCCGGGCATAATTTTAATCAAACATCGCTCACAATAGTCCCCCAAGAGAAAGGGAGATGGCTCCAGACACAGTGAGAGTCAGAGTCAGAGTGAGAGGCGGAGAAGAGGAGTGGAGTGGAATGTCGTCTGTGTCTCAATGCATTTTTCGTATATTTTTGCAGTAATTTTTATCCCACTTTTTTTTGTCATTCTCTTGCTCTCTTTATTCTCGGTGTTTATTTTTGTGCTTTGCGCCTTTTGTCGACATTTAAATTAATACGCTTGGCTATAATTCAAAGTAAAATTGCGGAAGTTGCCAAAGCGGAAGTGAGAAGCGGCGAGCTGCCGAAAAAAATGAAACAGCAGGAGGAATGCCAAAGAACTGGAAAAGAAAACCCAAAATGACATGGCGGCACACACACACACATACACACACTCGCGCAAGAAAAAGAATGAGCGACAAGGCAGAGAATGAAAAAAGGATATACGAGTGCGAAAGAACGAGTGAGACCTATGGCCACAAAGGAATGGCAAATAATGACTTGCGACCGCAAATGTCAATGCTTAAAATTATACAGCTCCCGTTTCATTTCACATTGTTTCGTTTCATTTTGGACATACCCTTTCAGAGGGTATTATTGGTTATACGAGATGCTTGGAACGCCGAGAATTAATCTTGATGTTACTTTCTGCAATAACTATCGAAGGTCAAAGGACTGCTATATCCTGTAGCTACCATACTAAAAGGCTCTGTTAGAAAGGCATCGCATGCAAAGTTTATGACAATCCGATCATCATATCACAAAATCTCCCTATAAAAAATTAACCCGCAAGTGTATCCGAAGCGAGGTCCGAAGCCTCGAGGCCACACTTCCTCTCCCATTTGCGCCTCGTTTTTCTGGCCGTGACTCCCGCCGTGACTGGAAGGCCCGCCCATTCCCCGAATTTCGACAGCGCATTAAGTTTTTATGCTATTTAATTTTTAACATTTTCGTTTTTTGTGTGCTTCTCGCTGCCCCTCGTTTTGTGGCCGCAAAGAGTTGACTGCTTTCCAGGGAAAAGAAGAGCGTAACTATTTATTTGCCTTCCCAGCCAGTGCCAGAGTCAGAGTCAGAGCCAGAGCCAGAGCTATGGCTGTAGCTTTATATTTGCTCTGTCCGAAACATTTCATTAAAATCCACCCGTCTGCACCATGTGCCCGGCCTCCTGCTTTGCATGGTGCATGCCACTGACGGCGGCGGTTGACGGCCCAACGGCGGGGCGTGGCAGTTAGTAGTCTTTGAGAATGGCATTTCCGCATGCAATTTTTACATTTGCCGTCCGCTCAGCTCCCACACCTCCCATTTCCCAGCAGTTCGTCATTTTTCTGAATTTATTTCATTGAGTTTTCCTGGTTTTTTGTTTCGTTTTTCGTAACCCCATGGCTAAGTGTATACAATTTAACGCTTCCTTGTCGTTATTTCTGGGCTGGTTCCCCTTTAACGAGCCTCCCCACCCTCCAAAAAGTGTTGGCTGGAAAAAGCACTCCACGTGCCGCTGCATATATAAATTCTCAAGTGTGGCCAGACGCGCGAGTTTTTTGCGCCGATTCTCCGGTTTAGGAGCAGACTTGTTCCCCCCCTGTTTCCCCTGCGAAAATGTTAATTAAGGAATTCAGTGGCATGTAAGCCCTCCAGGGCAAAGGTCAGTTTAATTAGCATGGATCAAGGGTCGAAAGTAGGCGAGTTTTTCCAGCAATGTTTTAGATTTGAATAATCAAAGTTACATGGGGATTAGAGTGGATCAAGTCGCAAAATAGTGGGCCATCCTTTACACTAATGAATGCGACAAGAATGTTGAAGTGGAATGTTGCATTGAGGGAATGTATGACATATCATTGTCCAGTCCAGCCGCAACGAGCATTTTTAATTATGTCTTGTCAACGCGGACTGGCGGCTCTGGATTGTTGGGCAAAAACCGCAAACCAGGCAGCACCGCGGCAGCATATATTAATTATTTAGCGACCATTGAAAGGCACTCGGGCGGTCACCGCCGAACACTCGAACACCCCGCACAGATGGTCAAACACACATGGAGATGCCTCTGGTTAGGGCACTTATGTGCATATTTGCATATTAATTACGCATGGCACCGCAACCCCAAGTCTGGCTGTGGGATATTCATAAACCATTGATATTGTCGATTTGTTGCATAATGAATATCATAAACAAGCACTAAGCGCTGTCCCGTCCTGTCCTGTCCTCCAGGCCCCCCACTCCACTCCAGAGACGTGAATGTAACCCCCATGCAACACCCAATCTCTGCTCATGCGACAGCAACAAAGTCATTAGAGCAATTGTCATTAACATGAGCGATGGCAATGAGACAACATCATTATCAACGTCATCGGACGGGGCCCGATGGGGCAGGGAGCTGCGGAGTAGGGGCAGTGCGGCATTGTCAACGACGTTGTCCCCGTCATCGATGTCGGACGCATTAAACATGCAGCAGTCTCTGACAGAGCCATCAACATCAGCATCAGCATCAGCGGCTAACAGCATTAATGGGGGGTCTGTGTGTGGACAGCCCCTGCGCCAACCCTTGGCTCATCCAATAACAACCCCTACCATAGGACAGCCACTGCACTTTATGCACTTCCATCATCACTCTCGACAGGGCTGTGTCGAGCCGTGAGTGAGTTAGAGCGGAGCAATGTTGCTGCAATGGTTTTTAATTATTTTGCAAATTAATTTCCAAATTGGTAATTTTCTTCACATTTGCACACACGCCCCAAAACACAGCAGCAGCGGCAGCAGCCTCAGCAGCTGTAATGAGTTTTTGTGCGGCGCGACGGGACGGAATGAGTAGTGAAAATTTGCCTATTAGCCTCGTCGCAAAGTAGATGTTTAGAGGAAGCCGTATAACAACCTAATTAGAAGAAACGCTAGAATGGAAATTGTGCTGCAACACAGTTGCAAAAGATGATGATAGAAATAGAGAGCATGTACTGGAAAATTTTCGTAATTTTATTTACCGAATGAAGGTACTTAAAAGGTGTTGTATCTATGACTTAAGGCTTAGATAGATTGAATAAGCTATATATATATGGCGACCAATGCACTAATACAAGTACTGAAAGACATCAAACGCCAAAACAAAAAGCACTTCGTTGATTCTGCAAGTATGAAATAAAATAATAAATTATTGTTTAATAATGTCTTATTTACTTACACTTTTTTGAGTGCTTAGAGACCATACAGAATCTTGCAAGGTTTTAGAGATGTAGAGGATCCAAAGAGAACAGAGTCAACGGTCAGTTTGTGGCGGCTGTGGAGCATAGATAACCCTCCAAATTTTTGAACGTAAATTTAACATAAGCAACTAAACAAGAGTAAAATTTGACAAGTGACAAGTGGGCCGTGGTGCCTCTCCTTTGGAACACCCTAATGGAACGCATCCATGAAGGGGAATGAGGCCTGGTCCGGATCCAAGAGGTCAATCAGGAAGCACACAGTGCCAGCCACTCCCTCGAAAAGACTATATGGACGATCGGGCATACGAGCCTCTCCCTGGAAGATGGGGTTGATCAGCAGCTCCATGAACTTGAGAGCCCTGTAGTGGTACATCATCTCGTTTGTCAGACGGAAGAGCAGCAGAAAGACATAGCCACCGCTGGCCACGCCGTGACATATACCGGGTCCCTTGCGCAAGACTCCCCTGTTCCAGACAAGATCGGACGCCAGACGTATGGCGTTCAAGTACTTCTCCTCGTTGAAGATCAAGTAGGCCTTGGCCAGCATGTAGACTGCCCCTGGGGCGCCGTGACACCAGTGCACCAGGCGCCGCTCTGGATCCCTTCCCGTGAGCAAGTCCTCCATGGACACCGGGAAGTTTCCCACGCTGTCCTGAAGTTCAACGAAGAGGTCAATGGAGATCTTAATGTCGAGTAATACATCTTTCGGGGCGGAGATCGGTATGGTCCGGAACCAGGGACTATCGAGCAGCATGTGGAAAATGCCGCACATGCCATGCGCCGCTCCCAGATACTGGGTGCCGTGATGCAGGTAGGCCAGCGGCGACGGGCTCTTTCGGATCTTGCTGTACTCACGGCCACTGGCTATGATCATCTGGCAAATGGAGATCACGTCATCGTCGGAGATCACCTTATGTCCGAGAACCTTGTTAAGCCAGTAGCAGCCAGATAGATAGCCGGCCCGTCCCACCATAAATCCGTCGCAGCCAGTTTTCGTGTGCATTTTCTCCAAGCTGGCCGGCATTCCCGTCTTGAAGACAGCCAGATCATTGGCCATAGTTTTAGTGTCTTCGACTGCCATCGAAATGGCTGCGGAGACGGCATATATCCCAGCGTTGCCACAGACGAAGGAGAAGCGCTCCGAGGAGCGCTTCAAATAAGGCTTGCATTTCTCCTTGGCAGTGCTCATAAAAGCGACGGCCTGCTTCAACGCATCTGGGAACATCGGACGCGTATGTTCCGATTTGTACAGCTTCCAGAACATTAAGCTTACCCCAGCATCTCCCACATACAAGTCGCCGCGTTCGTCTGCCACCGTATCATATTTCTCCAAAATGGTCTCCACGTACAGCTTAATCAAACTTTTGATTTGTTTATCACTGACCGCTGTCTGTCCCTCGCCGGGGACAAAATCCGGAAATGGATTTTGAAGATAGCGACGACCCAACATTTGATTTGTATTTTTCGGATTTCAGGAATCAGATTTAATAGGGAACGTATTTTATATAGTATTATAGAAGCCTACTCGATTTAGATTCCATAGTAGTGGAGTGATTTCCATTCACACTCCTGTCCCTAACTACTGGCTGATATGTGATTAATTCTTCATTATCTAATTTCTATTAGCATTTCCATGGGTGAAGCTTGGAGTAGCAGGTGCCTGAGGGCCAGGCCCTGACCAATTGCCGTAGGCAACAACTTAAGTCAAACTGTGGCCATTAGTGGCGACACCAGGAGGAGCAACAGCTCCAGATTCTCCCACATCAACAGCACCAATGACACGCAACTGAAGTCGACTCCAGGGTCTGTTCGTGTGTGCGTGGTGGCGTGCCAACTTGGCGTATGCGTAATTCCCACATGCCTCTTGCAATTATTTGTTTCTCTCTTTTCGGGCAGCTCCACACGCAGCTGCTACGCTGCCACCGAAGCACACCCATCTAACAACACTTTTCCGCCAGCAATTTCCGGAAGCCGAGACTCCGTGCTCCATGCTCCATGCTCCATGCTCCCTGCTCCATGGAAGAGGAAGGTATTGCATAATAGATTGCCAGGCAGGAATACGAGTACGAATAGGGGAAATGGAAAATGGAGAAGCACGCAAATTCTTTTCTTCCCTTTTTGGCTGATTAGTGTTGATTGGTATTTCTCGCTTTGCTGCTCATCAATGCTAATTTTTTTTCGTTGCTACTTTTCTCTCTCTCTCTCTCTCTCTGTTGCCTCATCTGAAGTGGCAGCAGCTCCAAAGTTGGCCAAAGTTTCTTCTACGTTTTCTTCTTCGCTTCCTTTCGCCTGTTCACGTGGCCGTGCAACAAAAGCATTTGAAAATTAAGCGCAAGTGCAAAAGATTGATTGGCGCAACATTTGCGTGGATCTATTAATGAAGTGCACACAGAATCAATTCGGGCAATCAATCCCCCGAATTCCCGGCAATCAAAGTGCTGCTTAATTAATTCGGTTAGCAATCTCCTGGAAACGGTCGAAAATATTAAATAATAAAATAAAATAATTTCTGCGCTCATTTTTCTGCCACGTCAACACTTACGCCTCGTTACGCACCGTTGAAGGAATGAATGCCATGGCGCCATGTAGATGGTGGATTCGTATTCGGATGATGATGATGATGATAATGTCTGTGGCCATGATGGACACAGGTCCCAGACTAGAGCTTAAACAAAGGGGGAATGCGGAAAATCAACAGCAAGAACAGAAGGCAAAGGCATGAAAAAAGCAAACATCAACAATTTGGACAAATAATAGGAGAAGGAAAAAAACCTTTATGGCATGACGGCATAGCAGCACAACAACTGCACACGTATGAGAGAACATCCCGTTCTATGTGGAGGGGTGGATATGTCTCTCTGTATCTGTGTTTGTGTGAGCGGAAAATATGACAACACATATGCACCACTGACAGCCATTTTAATGGAATATGCTGCAAGCCAGTGGCAATGTTAACTAATCTAAAAGAAGACGGCTGGGGGCCCAGAACCAAACAGATTTCTGTCTAGACCCCACAACTATTTCTATCTGTGTTTCAGAGTCCTTCTCTTTCTCGTTTCTCTGGGCTATCATAATTTTTTCATCTATTTGTTTTAGTATTTTTGCCTTTGTGGAGATTGGAGATTGCCATCGAGCACCTGCTGTTTTTCCTTCTGCTTCTGCTCCCACTGCCAAGCCCCTGTTAATTCGTGCGTTCTGTCCTTGCTTATCTGCAGAATGCCTCTTGCCTTCTGCCTCCCGCATCCTGCCTCCGGTATCCTGTCTGGGACCTGTCAAAGCGGCGACAGCTCGACGGGCTGCAGTGTTGGCAAAAATGCTCCCAGCGACTTGCGCGCTCAATTCATTTACAAAACACGCACGGTCGTCCCTTCGTCTGTCAGCGGGCCACAGTCGGAATCCGGGCCATGGTGCGACGTGGGCTCTATCCTCAGTTTGCTGCTTCCAGGATATGTTTGCACAGGATTCGGGCACAATTGACACACAAAACATGTGCTCCGGAGTTGGCCGGGATATATTGTATGTAACAAACAAATAGGGACAAACGATGCGGACCCAAAGATGGGAAAAGATCTTCCGCTGGTTATGACCAGGCCAAAACACAGCAGTCATTAGAGTTGTGTGGCTTTGAGGGGGTTCTGTTCGGGGGAAAATCTGTTGAAAAATCTGAACTGTGAAAGAAAATCAATACTCATCGCCTTGCACGTCGATCTGGTTTTCAATTTCAACAGGAATTACGCTTAATTGACGCTCAAGTGACAGCAGCACGAAGTGGAAGTACCCGCCACAAATCGTCTTAACTTTCACCTCAGCTCTCGACCCCATACCTCAGTCCGATGGTCCCTCAATCCCACAGACATGCCCCAAGAACCAACCTCAACCGCTTAAACAGAAAGGTACAAAGACACGCACACACAATGTCGGTCTTAGAGCTACTTATACTTAGATACACTCTCCTCATTCACTCATTCATTCACTCAACACACACACACCACACACACACTCGGAATACTCTGAAGTTGTTAGCAAGTCCGTGCTGTTGCTGTGGCTGTGTTCGCTGCGATTGACCAAAGTTTTCAATTATTTACAGGTAATTTGGTTCAAAGACACCATGCAACTGGATACCACGGAGCGGCACATCATGGAGACGCGCGGATCCCGGCACACGCTGATTATACGCAAAGTGCATCCGCAGGACTTTGGCAACTACTCCTGTGTGGCCGAGAATCAGCTTGGCAAGGCACGCAAGACTCTCCAGTTGAGCGGAAAACCGAATGTAGCCGTTTTTAATTCACCGCCAATCAGTCAGTACAAGGACAGGTAAGTGAATCCTTCGACATCCTTCGACATCGTTCGATTACGGTTGCGCGGGTCACGTGCCAAGTTCGGAGGAGTTTTTCCGGCTAATTAGAAGTGAGGGTCAGGGGTTCGGGCCATGAGTTACGGTTACGTAATTGAGAATTAAATGCAAAATCAGAAACAAATGTCAGGATTTTGTGGGTTGATTGGCCATTAGACATTGCATTCTACACAGAGATGATGCACACATCGCACACTGAGTGACTTTATTAGATTAATTTCGACGAATGACACAGAGAGACGCCCAATGGATGGGCAGCCCTATGGGTCGTTCAGTGCGTATACGTAACGAATAAAACTTTTAATTGGATTAGCTGTCATCAAACACACGCAGACACACACACACCCACACACCCACCCATAAGAGGGGCGACACAGATACGAAGAGCCAAACCATCAAGAGAGAAAGAGACACCGAAAGAGAGTCGAGAGCCAGTGAGGAAAGCGACAAACAAGCTCACATCTCATGTCACACTCGAACAAGCTGGGAGACAGCCCAGTCAGTCCATCAGTCCGTCTGTCCGTCTGTCCGTCTGTCAGTCATTCATTCAGTCAGTTAGATAGCTTTACACTCTCTCGACAAATGGGGAAAATGGGAGGCGAGTGCCATTGGCACCTTTCAATAATTCAACTTGAATTAAGCCCCATGCCCGCGAGAACATTTTCCAGCAGAACCACATCTGGAAAATGGAGGAAAAAACTCCAAGCAAATATCGCGCAGAGCAAGTACTAGTAGCACCATTATAATTTCGGGGGGAAGCAACGAACTAACTTTTTGGGTGAAAACTAACTAACCAAGCTATAGCCATGTCAACTTTTGCGCTGATTTCATTTCATTTCGTTTCATTTGGTTTTGATTCGCTGGCGCTGCCGCCGCCGGAAACTGCTGCCGGCAATTAAGCTACCAAAAGACCCCCAAAAAAACAGAACCGAAAGCGATTCTGTAGCTGTTCGAGTCGCTATAGACTGGCGCCAGTCGCCGTTGCCGTTGCCATTGCCGATGCCGATGCCGTTGCCGGGCTCTTCAATTGTTAATAATCATTTTTATTGCTTACTTTAGTTTTATGCTATATGCGAAAAAGTTTCTCTGATTGGCGTTTTATGTTTTTATTGTGCGTCAGGACTTGAAGTTATTAGTCGCATGGGCCAATAATCAGGCAGAGAAAACAGAAAACAGAAAACATCGAGAGCAAAACAGGAAGAGCAGGGCCTCCGCCTTCCCTTTGGGCCTTGTAGGCTTGTTTATGTCCTGAATGGGGACGGGACCCAGGAGCAGACCCCATCCTGTGCCCAATGCTGATTAGCATTCAAATTGTGTGCCGAGTTTATCGCAAAGCAATGAAGTTGCGCCTTTGTAATGGAGGATTGCGACAGCCGGGCTGGGCTCCTCTGGACCTGATTCGGATTCTGGCATCCCATGAGCTACATCTTGTAATTAGTTGTTTACTTGAATGCCAACAGTTGCTCTGGAGCGTGGAGTGTGCCTCTGCCTGCCTATAAATAAGTTTGTCCATCAGCTTTGATGACTAATGAGCTTAAGTAGTGCCGGTCCTTGCGGACTCTGCTCGACATTAAAGCCATCGCTGCTGGGGGGATCGAACTTTAAGCAGGGGCCAATGGCCAAAAATGCAGCTGGCCAATCCCCCGACTGGCACAATGCAATGCAGGAGAATGGCAGCAGTGGCGCAGAGTGGGTGGCCATATAACTTCATTTACACTTGAGCTGAGAATGTGGCAGGACTCTGTTGGCTTTTCGGTTGAATGGACGCATTGTGCGACCGGCAGGAAGGGGCCCAGACGATCGTTATAGGGGGGTGCATGGGGCGGGCGTCGGGGGTCGGGGGTCGGTAGGGCAAACAAGCAGCCAATAACAAAGGGGAGGCACCCGGCATTATGTTAAGACTGCAGCAGCAACAATGCGGGGATGTGGCTCATACACGCAGTATCTTAACCCCGCCATTGTCCACATCGCTCCATTGATTATGTTGTTGTTGTGGTTGTTGTTGCTGCTGCTGCTGCGACTCGAGATTCCTTGCTGACATGGCTCCTTGCTGGCGTGCTTGCTGTTGACTTCGTCTTGAACAGCTCAAGCTCCGGCTTTCAGCTTCCAACTTTATAGAAAATTTAACAATTTCATATTGATTGCAGCACCCGCCCTAAAACAAATCCCCCACCCAGCAGCAACTGTTGCACGCGATAACTTACCCACTTATCCCTCTCCTTTGGCAGATACAACATCTCCTGGGCAGTCGACTCGCACTCACCCATCGAGGAGTACAAGCTGTCCTTCCGCAAGCTGCCACAAGGACATGAGGTCGTTGGCAATGCCATTGACTCGCAATCGTCTTCGTCGTCGTTGTCGTCATCGCAGTCCTCCTCCTCGTCGCAGATGTACGGCTCTGGTCTCCACTCGCATCACATGGGCAGCAACATCGGCGGAGTCGGCGGCGCCGGCGGAGTTGGAATGGGCAGCTATGCCGGCTACGGCAATCTGATGCACTGGGGACGGAACGACTGGCGCAATGTGGTCCTGCCGGCCATACCCGTGTCGCATCACTATTCGCAGGGCATGAGCTACATGGTACGCGGCCTGGATCCCGATCAGCACTACGAGGCCACCGTGCAGTCCAGGTGAGTGGAACAGCCAGCCGCAGCTGTTGTTATTGTTGTTTTTGATAGCCGAAGCAGAACGTTGCTGCCGCATTCTGTTGGGCTCATTAGCAAGCATTTGCATATTAATAACTGCTAATTTTCCTGAGCTGCATAATTAATACGGGCAAATGGTCTTCGATTGCAGGAATCGTTACGGCTGGAGCGATTTGACCAACAGTTTTGTCTTCTCCACATCATCGAATGGTAAGTGTCAGTAATGCGACTAGTGTCGCAATATCTCCATCTATCGAAAATGCCAGCCCAGCACTTTGTGTATAATGCATTTTAAGCCTTAGGGCTTATATCCGGCACCCTGTTACGTGTGGCACAGCCAATGAATACCCTGAAATGTATTGCGATTGTGAATGCAAGAGTTCTGTGAGGGTATCCCTGCCTCGGCTAGCCGATGGTCAACCGATTGAAATCCTTTTGGCTTTGTATTTGCTTTCTGTTGCTGGTTGCATGCATAATAATTTGGTATTATGCGTTGCTTTTACCCCGATAATCCACAACAATCACAATGATGCGGCATCGGCAGAGCAAACAAAAAGGGAAAATCAGAAACGGGGAAAAATCGGTGGACTCTGTTGCAATTTAATGTATTTAAAATGTATTACTGAAGCGAAAGGGAGCGCGCGACAAGTGAGCCGCGAAGTGGATGCATTTACTGCGCTTTCATTTCGTTTCTTTTCGCTTCGTTTCGGGGAAAATTTAGCAATAATTTTCGCACTAAGGCGCACTCGCACACACCTTAATGCACAGCACATGCACACGCCTGTCACAGCTATCTTCCATTTTCCATGCGCATATCAAGTATACGCACCGCTGGCAGTTATTTTGCCTGCCAGTTGACAAACTCTCGCATGGGCAAATCCCGCATCCATCCTCTGCAGTCCCTGCATCCACTGAGACTGTGTGTGTTTTTGTGGGCATATTGGGTCCACTAATTGATGGGTGGCTCGAGCGTGCAGTCTTGACTTTGCATAATGAGGGTGAGGAATCAAATAAGCGCACAAGGCATCGCTAATTGGATGTGCTGAACGGTGGAGGAGGGAAAAGGAAAGAGCAAAGTCCGCAGGACAGGATCCCTTCTTGAAAGTCGCAAACAAAGATGCAGTGCATCGACCAAGACATCCCCTCCCACACAGCACGCAAGACCCCGACGGCAGGTGGGTAGATTTAAATGCGCAAACGAAAACCATTTATATGCAAAACTATTGTTGCACTGCATACAAAATGACTACGGCAATGCCACAGAGCGATAGACATGAAAAGCAGTGAAAGAGAAGCAGAGCGAGAGCGAGCATGGGGGGAGGGGGCAATCGGGGAATGGGGGAATGGCAACATAAAATGTGGCGCGCGCGGAAAGCGATTTTCCATGCAAATGACGCACATTTGCCCGGCGTCAGGCCAGACCAGCCCAGGCCAGGCCAGGCCAGTGGAGGTGCAGTGGAGCCACCACTCCGTTTGCCATCTTTTGGCTGCCATGCGAAATGCATACAAATGCAAATAGTTCACAGTTCAATGCCGCCATTGCTGTTGCTGTGTCGCAAGAGCGTTGCCTGGCAAACAAACGCATAAATATGCAGTCAGCAGCAGCAACAGCAGTACGAACAATAAAACAAAAAAACCAAAAGAAATATGCAATAAACACGCACATGCCGCCGCCATGAGATGCTCGCAGAAGACGACTGCAGGCGGCAGCATGTGGCAGCGACAAAGCGATGCAGCGAAAATTTAATAAACCAAAACGTGAATGGCGCACACATACAGAGATCGCGATGGGGAACAATACAGACGCTTTTCCGCCCGCTGAGACGGAAGCTATCGATGTCGCTAGATGCAAGACGTGTTGCTTTTGACAGGTTACACAGACACACTCTCTCTGAGGCAGCATACTTCATTACGCGCCATTGAAATGGGGTCTGAAGCCTGCATGCCCTGCCTTGCCCCCCTGCCCAGCAATCAACTTGCATTCCCTGCCACTGCCATGGCCCCAGAAACAGCTTCGTTTTGTGGCAATCCGATGGCTGTGCTTTGTGCTAATGAAAATGACTTCATTATATTTTCGAAACGTAAACAATTTACGCAATTAGTGGCCGAGCATGCTATGCAATAATACGACTACACCAGAGCACCAGAGGAACGCAAGAGCAACAGCAACGCCAGGATACAGCACAGCAGCAGCGGCCGCAACAGCCGCAACAGCAACATCATGGCGTGCAATCGAGCAAAGCGGCAACTAATGAGCGCAGAGTGTCATAACTACAGGAACAATGCCAGCTATATGTATGCCATACAATAACTGTGGCACTAACCGTAACAGTAAAGGACAGAGCCAGACCCAGACCCAAAGACTCTGCCAACCCAGACAATCGCAGACTAAGGGAGAAAGGGCAAGAGACAGTTGCAGAAATATTACCAGTTCATTTACCTGTTTGCTACGTGTGCGGCAAGCGGAGCAGAGCAGGCCAGAGCGACTGCCGGGGTCAGACTCCGGCCACTAAAAGAAAACGCCAATGGAGTGTGTTGTCACAGATCCCTCCCCACAGCCGGGGATCCAACGTTTCGCATATGCACTTCAAAGTCCACCTCCTCCACGCATTTATGAGGCTGGTTTGGCAACCACCTGAAGGGTGGTAACGGGTGCAAATGGCATTTGGGAAAACAATAATACCCTGGCATTATGGTGGGTCGATTGCATTCCAAGATGCTGCTCAACAAGTATGTATAGAAGAGAGCTACTTTAGGAACATGAGGGAAGCAAAGTTTTCTACAGGATATGCTGGCGCTTCATTAGTTTTTACAACTTTCCTTTTGTGATAGTTCCATTTCCAATTTACAATCGATATTGTGTATAATTTATCCGCAGCATAGTTGTCGAAAGGAATACCTATGTTTTCAGTAGTCTCTCTTGAAAGTTCCTCTTCCCATTGCAATCCCAATCTTTTTTTTATATATCCGTTATGAACATCCCATCAAATATATTTTTAATATCACTCAATGAATTCCTTCGCCATTTTACCATCAATATTCTTTAAATTGTACCGTACTTATTGGAGAATCAAAGCTTTTTACAGGAAAAATATTCCATTGCTCGTAATTATTGAACATTCATTGGCCAGCTTAGCGGAGTAATATCCTGTCTAATAGCGTAATATCCTGTCCTTTGGGTCAGCTGAAGGAACGCCAAAGGGCATATCTACTTCGAGTTGCCGTTGGCTGCATTCCGTCCGCTCTTCAAGTGCATTTAATTTTAACGAGTCCTCTTCTGTAGTCGTTGTTTGCACCCGTAATGTGCTCGACGAGTGGCATTGTACGGCTGTGCCCTTTGTTTTTCCCGGTGTCCTGTCATTGTCGTTGCCATTTCGGTGCGTGGCGGACACTTGGGTGGGGGGAACAGCACAAGGGGCAGCGGAATAGACTCTACTAAGGTATGCAACTATTTACATCATCTATAGCGCTGGGTAATAGTAACGACAGAAGAGCACGAGAGGGTCTGGAGAGTGGTGGCCAGGCAGAGACTTTGCAGGCAGAGGGTCAGAGGGCATACACACTCGTATACCCCGGCACATAGAGACATCAAAAATAATGCATTTTGTGCACGCGAAAAAATACTCGACATAAAGCAAAAAAGAAGTTAAATAAAATTACAACATAAAGTAAGGCAACGAGTCTGTCAGTGTGTGTTCTGAAGGGCGCTTGTGTGTGTTTTTCTCTGTTTGTGTGTGCGTGTGTGCTGTATGGTTGTGTTTATATGTGTGTGAATGGCGGACGTTTGGCTAGAAGAAATATCAGAAAATGAAAGACTCGTTGAAACTTGCGTAAAACTTGCTGAAACTGCCAACTGAGGAGCGCCGCAGCAGCAGCGTCAGAAGCAACGGAGAAGCAACAGCAACGGGAATAGCAATAACAGCAGCAGCAACAGCAATGGTGGCAGCAACATGGGGCAGCAGCAACAGCAACAACAACGCCAAGCATTCAAACGATGACAAAGTGGACCCTTACTGCATGCCCCTTAGAATGCGTCGTAGCCGTCGTCGTCGCCGTCGCCTTCGCCGCTGCCGCTGCTGGCACTGAACGTCTGCTCAAAAACTTTCAATTTACTCGTCCTAGTCCGACGGCCAACGTATCTTCTTGCAACACCACACCATTCTCATGGAGGAGCCCCGCCTGCATCTGCACCCCCGTCCCCCTGTGCGTTTGAAGCTTTTGTGTTGCCGCTGGGAATACTTTAGCCGAGGCCCCCAAACAACTGCAGCGTCGTCGTCATCGTCGTCATAGCCATCGTTTTTTTTCTGCTTTTTTCCCCACTTGCATGTAAGTTGCAAAAGTTTTTCAAGGCATATATACCTCGTACTCGCACTCGTAAGAAAAAAAGAAACAAAGGAGGAGCTGGCTGGAGCAGGAGCAGGAGCAGGAAAAAGAAATGAGAGGAAGACCCGCCCGGCAGAAGTTTGTAGTGGCAGCATAATAAGCACAGGCAAAAATAGCACCACGCTCTCGCTCGCCTCCGAGATGTGTAATGCGAATTCTCAACGTGAATGTTATGTTTATGTAAAGTGCAGGTCCCACAATGCCATGCCCCAACACGAAGGCGAGAAAGAGAGAGAGAGAGACAGGGAGACAGGGCGAGGAGGCGACACTGTTGCTGAAGTTTCAACTTGCCACAAGTGCCGAGTGGCCGTGCCCATGCCCATGCCTGGACCTATATATGCACATACATATACGAAAGAAGAGGTTTGTGTTTGTGGAAACTGCATTACAATGCATAAGGAACCAGAGAATTTTCTGGCCAGAGCTAAGCTTTAATCGGGGCTTTAAGGGTCGTCGGGGCCCAGGTCCAGGACCCCAATGACAAATCCGCTTCCAGCTATAGAAAAAAATACAAAACTAAGCCATAGAAAGGGGGGACGCATGTGGTCCACTTTGCAACAAACGAGCGATGTGTGCGTGCGGAGCATTGTTGAAATGTTGCTGCCACTGCCGCTGCCGCTGCCGCTGCCGAAAACTTGAAAATCCGCGGTGAGCCTGCCCCAACGTGTGTCCTGCAGCAGTGGCAACTTTTGCTGAATGTGTAATAAACTCGCTGTGCGCCCCGCCCCGCCCCAGTCCCAAGTTACGGATGCAAACTGTCCGCAAAAGCATCGGAAATGCTGCGCGAAAAATCGGATTTGCCTGCTGTACTTACAAACACCAGCAACGCGATGCAACGGCAGCAGGAGGCAGCTAGCAGGATTTGCCACCACTGCCGCTGCCGCTGCCGCTGCTGGTGCTGCCTCTGGAAGCATCAGCTCAACAAATCCATGTCCGTGACTGTGACTGCCCCCCTTCTATGTCGATTGCACTCGGCCATTTGTATTTGTTGCCGCACCGCAATGCTATTATGTGAAAAGCGCGTTTCGTCCACTGTCGAGGATTGGAGGGACAGTCGACGAGCTAGGCAGGACCCGACCCGTGACAGGGCCCCGGCCAGGTGCTGAGAGCTAGTCACCGCGGCAGAGCAGAGCAGAGCAGAGCACAGCAGAGAAGAGCAGCCCAGGCCCCGCCACTGCGGCGACATCGATGGCCAGGCGCTTATTTAGCTGCACAAACGAGAAATCACAAGTGACGTTACGGTTTTGTGCCACCGACCGCAAGCAATAAAAGTCGCAACGACAACCGAATCGGAATCGGAATCGGACCCATGCGGACCCAACCGGGCTGAAGCGGTGGCAACATTAGCCGGACAGCCACATGGTCACGAATGGCCACGGCCGCCGCTGCTCATCTTTCCGTCTCCGCTATCACGGGTCTGTGGCCGCGTCTGTTTTCATTATAAAATTGTCGGCGTTCGGTGGTGGGACCGCAATTGACAATTTGCTTTTATTTTATGTTGACAGTTGGGGAATTTATATGGCTGGGCATTGCATTTGATCGTCGTCGCCCGCTGGCCATTTTTCTTAGCCGCTTTACCGCTGGCCGCCGACTAAATGGCCAAATGAATGGAGAAATATGAGCAGAGAGGCCGATGGGATAGTGGATTTCGAGAGCATTTGAGAATTAAAGGTGTCATGTTCCGAGGCGGTGGCGGCGACGGTGACGGTGACGGCGACGGTGGCGGCACAGATGCCTCGATAGATAAGCTGTCCTGGTTGCTGGTGGCCAAACATGAGTGCAACATGCAACCTACATTGATACCACGTCCGGCATTCAACTCTTCCTCATTCTATCGCTCGGCTTGGCAGCTCCAACATCCGATGTTGCCTGTCTATTAAAAGTGTCAGCAATCACTTGTGGGCGGATGCTTCTGGTCCTTCCCACCTCTTGTTAGAGGCAAAGAAGCCGGTATGCCGGCATGCACGTCATTTGGTAGGAGATCTGTTTGCTTTAGATAATGTCGAACCATCTGCCAGGCAGGATATCAAATATTTATAAGTTTTGCCCGCCCAGAAATGGCAGCTCGATTCAAAAGAAGAAGCAAAAGCAGATGTAGATGTCCCTGGCATCCTTGGCGTTTCATTAAAATCGCACTGCGACACGACGATACCTTGGATATACTAAATATGTGTATGTACATATGTACATATATATATACCACATGCACGTATATCTGGAGCTTCATTTACGGGTATATTTGTGAGAGGAGAGGCGCCTTTGAGTCGCCGCTTCGATCGCCTGAATGGCCAAATGCTCATTTGTCATTATTGACAGATGTTGCACGTTGCCCGTTGCCATTTTAATTGGCGGCTTAAATGAAATGAGCTGCCTGGCCTGGCACCAGGAATGACCTCGCTGCTCAGTGACTCCACTGAGTCCAACCGAGGCAATTCAGCCCATCCAACAGCCAACATCCAATCCGCCCAATGACTTCCCAATTGATTGGCCATCTGCATTCGCCGTCTGCAGTCGTCTGCGCCAAAAGTAAATCCCAGTGATTGCAGATTGCACTTTAAGCGTTAATGATTTATTTGCCCGCATGGATTTTATTTAAATGTCAAAGGATGCAGGACGGATGCGAATTTCATTTTGTTTGAGCACAATAGGCTTTCCACTCCCCACGCTTTCCCCTGCCACTATCCACCTTTCACCTTTCTATCCACTACTATCGCTACTTTCAACTCTCCTAACTTTCAACGACTCTGCTCCACCTACTAATTGCAGATGGACCTGTCGATCTGTCCACCTTTTTGAATCACGGTCTGTCAGGTTAGTCTTTCTCTCTCTCTCTCTCTCTCTCTCTCTCGAACTCTTTCCCTACCTCTCTGTCTCTATATCTCCAACTTGCTCTCTCTCTCTTTCTATCTCTCTATTTATTTCTCTTTTTCTATACCTATCATCTCTATTTCTCTTTGCATGTTCAAATCTGCATGATATTTGTATTTATTTTAAAATACCTTGTACATAAAACTCGATATTTGTGCTAAGCTGGTCGGCGAAAAAAAGCAAAGCCCAGAAATAAAATTGGAAAAAATCAAAACAAATTGCATACACCTATGGATGGGCGTGTCCGTGTGTATTTGTCCGTGTAGTTTAGCAACTATTTTGCGTGCCATTTCCGCCACCATTTCCCAATCCTCGATCAACAACAGAAAAACAGAATAAAAATATAAAAACCAGAAAATCAAACGAGTTTTAATGCATACCCCATTGAAACTCCGCTTAGTCTATATGGGTTTCTATACACACACATATATACACATGCATACAGAGGTAGTCATGTGAGAGAGGTGCTTTTTGTACATTTCAATCTGTTCAGTTGCATGCCCAAACAATTTGTTTTATGGCTATAGCCTCTCCTCCATGAATATTGAAATGCATTCCCAGTGTGATTCTATATAATTTCACTCTTAATGACACCGAAATATTTAAAAGTTGATTAAAATACACAAATCTCTCTCTTCAATTTCTTTATTTATAGATAACGAGATGCGCGATCTGAGTGTCACCTTCTATGGGAGCAGTGCCATCAATAGGCAGAAACTGGGACTCCTGGCCCTGAGCTCGGCCACGCTGATCCTCAGCCTTGTTCTGGCCTAAATTCGATTATGATTTGCTTTCGACCTAAGTTACGGATCTCACCGCCAATAGCAGTAAAGCGTATCGTTTGGGATTTTGATTTTGCGGAATGCAGCAGAAGGATACACTCTAGTCGTAAATGGTAGCCTAAGGAAAGATATATATATGTAAACATAATTATAGACATTCCTGCTACGATTTCTCATTCTTCGATTCAAGATTCTCAAGCAACAAAACAAAAACAAAAAAAAAACGAAAAACCAATTTCAAATTTAAATCATGACTAACCAAAACGGAATAAGGAACCATACATTCTACGTGTAACAATCAATGTAAAAGAGCATAGAACTGTTCAAACTAGGAACCATTTATGCATACGGAAAACTAACGAATGAATACACCCATAAGAATACACTCATACACACTCACAAACTCAGTCACATTCGCATTTGCAGACCATTCGAGCACTCAGAAATCCAAGTGTATATAGATTTTATTGCATACTTTTAGGCTTAAGCTGCACCAAAGAAATAATATAATATACAGTCAGTCGTAAATGTATATGTATATGTATTTGATCGATATAATACACATACATATATACATATATATAATGCAGGTGCATCTGTCACAGGCAAATGGAAAATGCAAAACTGCAGCATTATGCAAATAGTTAATTTAATTAATCTATAAATTCATAAACTAATTATCGGATATGCAATAACCGCACACACAACACACTTATTTTAGTTAAATTAATTTGTGAAAAAAACACAATGTTAAAATCAAAACAAAATCGTGCAAAAAGATTCCACTAATTTGCAATAATTTGAAGCAAAGCGCGCCCTGCCACTTACACACAAACAGATACACACACATACAGGCAAACCAAATGACACATTTTGATGGCTTAAAGCAGACAGCAGACAGCATTTTTCTAGCTTTTTGCAACATTTGTATGTACGTAGAACCTAAGTAGCTTAATTGACCGCATTAAAGCAAGTAAATTAGTGAATACAAGCCCATTGATTCAATCGTGTAAATCAATCAACTGCAAAGGAAGTCGGAAAACTTCCAAGTGGATTGATTGATTTCCAATTATCGCATAATGTACATACAGAAAATATAGAAAATCTGATTGAACCGTCGCCAGGAAGCAGCAGGCAGGAGAGATGGATGACGTATGGATGGGTAAAGGCAACGGCAACGGCAACGGCAGCGGAAACGGAAGTGCTAACTAGGACACAAAAAAAATAGCTGATAGTAACTTTATTCAATATCCGTTATCCGTAAATACGAGTGTAACCAAACAAAATGTAAGTGTTTAGATCGAATACCAAACACCGATACAGGGTGTGGCCAACAGGTTGTTTTATGTAAATATAGCAGTGCACCCTCAAATATTTAGCCTCACATGATATATATACATATATATATTCGATTCGATATTATTGCTTCAGACGGCAGATCGCGCACCGTTAGTGTTTGGTTTTTCCGGCACCCTGTATTATCGTTTTTAGCAAATCGAAAGCCAAGCAAGAAAAATACAGCCACATGTATTGTATGTGCAACTTAGTGGATAAGAAAATACATATATTACGAGCATATACATACATATATTGAAATTATAGGAAGCCCAATGCCAGGCCAGGCGTACACATAAGACACATGATTATGTAATAGCATTGATTTGGGTGTGTGAAAAAAAACGTAATTTGATTTCCAAGTAAACTCAAATTATAAGTACACAAGAAGATACACGGTCGGCTTTTATAGGATTTACTGGCAACAGAAACTAGAGAAGAGCCCAAAATTGATATAGAATTATATAAATATATGTGTAATTAATAAACGATGTCGAGCAATTCGCTACAGACAAAGGCCACAGAGTAAATTGAATTAACGTCAAGTCATAATCTATGTTTATGTGTATGTAAATGGATGTGTAATCGCAACAAAAGATACCACAGATATCTCTCCACGCACTCCACGCACTCCACCCACTCCACCCCCTCTCCACCTCCACCACCAGTTCCACTTCCGATACCACCCAGTGAAAAGATAATGCTTTTGTCCAGCGATAAGGTAGCTAAAGGTAATCGAGGATATGTATATTGTATGTACACCTGACTATATAGAGGCGACGCCATAACTCGTACTTGAATGTGTAATTTACGGTTTAGTTTAGTTATGTAATTGTATTTAGTTAATGCCGACGCGACCACCACCATCGTCGTACGATTCTACTTTAATCTAAACATAATATTATAATAGCCAGAACACACCAGAACATCATCTTCTGTATTGAATGTATATGTGACTAGAAGCGTATGTGTATGTATATTTGATTATTTTGTAAAATTTTTCAAAAACTATAAATAAAGTCTATATTAACATATAAATGTAAGCCCGAGGCTATGCTCCTCAGCCTCCTTCTTCATCATAATTTATTCATCCATTCCCCTCGCCCCACTGCACCCATTCAGAGAATCCATGTATGTAGTTATCCACTTCTGATACCTGAATTACCTGCTCCCCCACGACGACGACGATGATGATGATGATGCTCATCAAGCTCATCTCATCTCCCTGTCGTCCTGTCGTGCTGTCGTCCTGCCGCCTGCTGTCTGCAGTATAAATACAAACACAGATGCAACTTCAAGATGGGAAATGGCTGAAACGGTAACCGTAACAAGATGGGCTCCGAGTCGAAAGCGAGTCGGAGTGCACGCGAGTCGGAGTGGCATGCATGGCCACAGCAGCTCGAAGGGATCTGAAGTTGCGTAAATGCAAACTTGGTTTATTTTATTTACTCCAGCTCCAGTTGTCATAGCCCGCCTTTTGTATGGTCTGCGACTCCTCCAGGAGGATGCCAGTGCAGACATTTAAGTGGGGAAAACCCAGACTCCCCACTCCCTACTGCCCACCGCTTCCTTCTACCATTTCCCATCCATGTGATGGAATGGAAATGAAAATGGAAAAGTTTTCATGTTGCCTCTCAGTCACTGTTGGGACGAGTGGCGGGATGGATGAATGGCAACTGGTTACACAAGCTCTGCCGCCTGCCGCCTATCGCCTGCCTCCCAGCTCGAGGAAAAACTTTAAATGGAAAATTTGACAGTCAGTCATAACGGTATTTTAAATATGATCCACATCACACATGTGTGTGTGTCCCAACACTGAATTCTGAATTCTGCTGGAATGCCTAGGTGCCTAGGCCATGCGGAATGTTATATGAGTTTTGCCGAAAACTCGAACTCGCATGTGGGGAAAACCAAAATCGAAAGTGGTTCTAGTGGGGCTAGCAAATTGAAAAGTTTCACCAGCTAATGAAAAACTCCCGTGCAACATCCGAGAGGGAACGTGCCAATGGCCTCAACAAATCGCCGGAGCATTACGGCCACGTGCTGCCTTCCAACGAACTGCATTTGTTTAATAATTTGCTTAAAAATAAAACCAATGCCAAGGCAGGAGGCACACGGCACTCGGTACACGGCACACGGCAATTGCAAGGTGCAAATGGCATAAAATTACCGCAAAGAACCAGCGACCCAATAAGCAGCTTCCCCACGTGTCGTGCCTGGAATGAAAGTGAATGGAAAGTAAGGCTGGGGGGAAAGTGTGTAAAATGTGAGCGAGGAGACTGGGGAGTGGGGTGGCAGCAACAGAACAACTGCCAAACAAGGCCCCAAATGTACGTTCCATGGATGTACATGTGTGCGTGTATGCTCCTCATTTCCTGCCATTGTTTTTGGTCCGTGCACAGGAGTCTATGGCTCGGCTGGGGCTGTGGCTGGGCTAGTTCTAGTTCTGGTTCTGGTTCTACTTCTCGGTGCTGTTCCCATTGCCATTCTATCGCCTTCCTGTTGTCGTTTGAGCTGCTGCTGCTGTTGCTGCTGTTTTCACGTTATGAGCTACTTGTTGTCCTGGTGCCTGGTGCCCTCTCTCGCACACATCCGTAGGCCTGTGCTGCATGTGTGTGACATGTTTACATAAAGTCCTTTACCGCTTCTAATGCATTATGGCAACAGCACGAATGGGGCTCTGCCGTCCTGCTCATATGAATGGTGCATGCCCCGTACCGAGACCGAAACCAGGAGACCTGGCTGAATGCAACAACAGAGGGAGCAGCAGAGGCAGGTTGAAATATCGCAGACGCATCGCACACACACACACACACACACACCAGTGCATAAATATTTGCATATGAAATTTATTATGCTAAAAATAAGCCAAGATTTAAAAGCGACGACGCCTCGTCGGAGCTGACGAAATAGGGCCAACTTGCACTCGCACTGGTAGAGGGCCAACAGGAGGGAGCCGTGGGGGGGAGCTGCATAATGAAGGCAAGGCGCAGCACCAACAAATGTCATGACAACTCTCACTCGAGCAGCCTTCACACCTGCCTCACCCATCCAGGGCCTATTTATGTGGCACGGCATCGTCTTTTGCCCCTGCTCTGTCGGCGGCTCTGGCTCTGGCTTTGGGATCTTTTACAATTTGCTTCCCCTTTGTGCAGCCGGAAGTGGGTCACGTATGCACACCTCAGTCTCGCATTCCGGCCAAGACAAAGCGCTGCAGCCTGTAATTAAGCCAGCGATGATGCCGCCGCCGCCTTCCAAACGGGCTCGACATTTGTTGTTCAAGTACGCCTTCCTCCGCATGCCAGAATTGGGGGAAATTAACTTAAATTTTAAGCTGCAGCTGGAGCTGGAGCTGAAGCTGAAGATTTCGAAAGCTTAATTCGCCTCGCAGTTTGTTAAGCGAGGACTAAGACGTCTGTAATGCGTTTAGCGACAGGCATTTGCATGCTTTTAGGTGCGCCACATCATCAAAAAACAAAACAAAACAAAAACCAGGCTAGAGAAGAAAAGAAAAGAAAACTCGTGATAGGCGAATGCTGTGTGCCATAAAAAAGTGCCAAGCAGCTAAATCCATTTTCCACAGCCAGGGAGTTTGAAGGATTGTTTCCCATCCACTGTGCGCCCACTGCCTCGTGCCTCCTGCCTCGTGCCTCCTGCCTCAGTGTCTGGCGGGATGACTGCCTTGCGCCTGACTGTTGACTGCCAGACGATGGGCACGTGGACGTGGGCGTGGACGGGGGACGGGGACGGAATGGACTGGGGCTGTGCGTGTAACAAGTGCCACTCAAAAGGCTCGCTGGAAACAATGAAAGCAAAAAGCACTTAATAGGCTGCCACAGCGGCGTTGACATGGCCATTTATATGCCGCAACTTGGCAGCGTTTTTAATTCATAATGCACATCACAAAGAAAGCGGCGAAGGAGGAGGGGTAGGAGGAAGAAGGTGGATCTCTGTGACGTGCCCCCGAACAGGATGTTGACTGCCAGCGGCAGAGCTAACAAACTTTCCGACACTCGCTCTTCTAATCCAGGCATCCAGGGATCCAGGATGCTGAGGCTGATGCTGATGCTGATGCTGTCCCCCGTTTGAGTGTTGCCTGTCACCGCGATGTCTAACATGTTTCCTAGGGCAACCTGAGAGAGAGCGAGATAGAGATAGAAATTGATTTCATTTTCAAATCAGA